TTGGTTTTGTCGATGATAATTACTGGGTTCTAATAAAATTGAAACCTGATTGTCCACTACCTCCCATCACTAAGCGTTGGAGGGAGAATTATTCTGATGCTGCAAAAGGATGAGAATTAGCATATGCGGGTCAGTTCAGACATTGAGAAGAATTGTCTAAGAAGTAATTGTTGTTTTTTTGTATTGCATCTATATTGACATTTATTCTATTTATATATTAAGATGGTTCGTAATTTTATCGTATATTTTATTCAAGTATAAATTTAAAAAAAAAAAAAGAAGAAGAAAAATTAAGTCTCAGTATTATCGAAAATTTAAAATTTCTAATATTTTTCATATACTAGAATTTTCAAATTTGCGATAATTTTATGAACTGAAGTCACACAAAAAATTTAAAATATCTAATATTTTTTTATATACCAAATGTTTTAAATTTCTAGTATTTATTTTAACTGATTCTACATATCAAAAATTTAAAATATTTGATATCAGAAATTTTAAATTTCTAATATATAATATCAGATACGACAAATCTAACAAAATTTCTTGTATGATACCGAAAATTTTAAAAAATCTGATATTTTAGAGAAATATTTTGATAAAAACACCATAGTTAAGGGTTGGCATGTATAAAAAGTGGGTGGGAAGATAAATTCTCCCCTATCTCTAATACTAAGAAGTCGACTTGTATAGTTCACTTGTCTTTAGCCATGAATGAAAGGACTAAATTCCAATTACGGGTCCCACAGACCACTCAATGTAAGTGATTGAACAAGATAGACGAGAATCACAGTTATTCATAACACCATCGCGACTAGTATCAAGTTAATTCTACAACACTTTCGAAATATAAACTCAGAATAATTACACATATCCTACTTATTAATTGCACGTGCGTCGTGTACCAATAGCTTTCTTTTTATAGATATCCTATTAATTGCGACGCTGAGAATAACTTGGATTACCCTATAACCTACCTTATGTATGGTTATACTAGTATTAAACTACATCTCTTAAATAAAAATATTAATTTTAATTTTTTAAAATTTATTTAATTAAATAGATTAAATTTATATTATTAAAAATAGACTATAATAGACTATAGATTAGACTCAAATATTTTTAATTTATCATAAGTTAAACTTAAATTTTTCTAAAACCTGATTTAATCTAGGCTATTTCTATCCTAATTACATATCTTAATAATAATATATACTTCCTCCCTAAAATTAACAGTTTATAAACAAAAAACACACAATTTTTTTTGTTATAATTTATAAATAAAAAATATCAATTTAAATTTATTTAAGCATTTTTTTTCAAAATACATATTTTCTAATGAAAATTAAATACAAACTATATTAAATATACTTTCTCTCTTATTTTTTTCTATAAACAACAACTAATTAAAATTATTTTTACACCTTTCTATAAAACATATTTTTAAAAAAACACAAATATTTAAATTTTCTTAATAAATATGAAAATTTGACAGTTTATTATTATCTCCATTTTAAACATAATTTTTTTATTATCTAACCTATGAGAATTAATTATCATATTAAATTTATTAATAATTAATCGAATATTTATATATTTATCTTTAAAGAAAAAAACTAAATATTTTTATAGAGCATTATCCCCCTAACTAAATATACTTTCAAAATTTAAAATATATTAATAATTTATTTATTTATATACTCATATTATTATTTTTTTTTACAATATATATTAAATAATTTTACATAAATAATAAATAATTATTTTTTAAAAAATAAATTTATAAAAATTGTTGATTGTTCTTAATCGGCTATAGACTCAAATAACTAAAGTCTAATTCATCTTAAATCTATTATACTTGATCTAAAATATAAAATTAATTCACACACGATATATTAGGAGAAGATTTAATACTTTTAATAGTTTATATGTTTGATGTAATTTATTGGAATACTATGTCTCTTTATTGTATTATGAGATAAGGGCGTGTCTTTTTTGTGGCTCCAAATCGAAATACTCCTTGTAACTAATTTAAAATTTATCAATGAATCATTATATTATTTTATAGTTAGAAGTTTTTTTGTTCGACTTTTATTCTTGCAAATATTTCTATTTTATTTTAGTTATTATTCTTTTATTTGAAATGTTACAATTTTTTTAAACTGTAAATTTATAAAACTATCAACAACGTTTTATATTAATACATAAATAAAAATAAATATTACCTACAAATATTAAACTCTAGACATTAATTTACACTCATTTAATAATTGTTACAAAATAAATTTATATTAAAAATATTCTTCAAAATAGATGAAACATTTGATTTTAGTTATTCAAATGTTAATGACATAAAAATTAAAATCTAGCTAGTATTCTAATTTTTAAAAGAATCATTTTTAATATACATAAATTTTGTAAAGATTAAACAAAGACAAAAACAAAAAACAAAATAAAACAATAGTTGCAACAATATTTGTAGGCAACAATTAAATATTTAAATCTGTTTAATTTTCTTATGAATAACATTGAGCTGCATGAAAATTAACATGTTAATAAAAAAAAAGTGTTAGAAAATGGAAAAGAGAGAGTAGATGGAAAGTGTAATTGGTTTGGTACTATAACTAGTGTGATGGAATATTATTTGAAGGCACTTTACTATGCATTTCTCCCCTATAAATACCTTATGCTTACACAGCAAGAGAAATCAAACACTTCCAAATCTGCAGATTCTATTTTCTCTTACATGACTGTTAGTTTTCCTTTTTTATATATATCTTGGAGTGGAGGAATTAACAGGGAATTATGTTGTTGACAGAAGATAGAGAGCACAGACGATGATATGCATTTGTAGGAGCTGCTCTATCAATGGATTCTGCATCTCACTCCTTTGTGCTCTCTATGCTTCTGTCATCATCTTCTTTCTCAACTTCCCATTTTTCTTTACTCCTTTTTCTTTATGTTGTTAATACTAAAATATGTTTGGTTTTTAATACGTGTCTGCATCTAAACGTCTAATATGAAATTTTACTTAATCGCAATTTAATTATGACAAATTGAATTAGAGACACTCTGACACATCTAACATATACTCTCATAGATAACTTTGTTGTTAATGTATGTCAGTGTTCTGTTCATCTATGTGTCCGTGTTCGTATTTATGGTATAGATAGCATATATTTGTGGTTTTAAAGATATATTAATAGTATACAGTATTAAATTTATTTTTTTTAAATAAAAAAAAATTAGGTTAATACAGAAATAGAAAGCAGGTGGACAATAAACTGCATCGATGTGGCAGATCGGAGATGTCCACATGATGTGGCTGCTAGAGATCTGTTGGTTGATGGCATGCAAAATTTGCTTGGATGGTATTAATTCATGATCTAGTGGAAGCTGCGGTTTTTGTTGGTGTGGTTTTTGGTGTATTCTCATTTTGTTTATGTGCTAAAGTACAAAGGTTGTTGGTCTAACTTTTATTGGATTTCTTATGCTTACGTTCTAGGTTAAACATTTTCATTTACTTCTATTTTATATTATGCTAGTTACACTTTTATTATTTTCTTTATGGTTTTATTTTATGGTGTTCTAAACTTAAGGTTTTTGATTCTATTAGAAAAAGTAATGTGAATACATTAAAAGACAATCAAAGAGACTTAGAAATAAATGTTTTTTTTTATATTTATTTTATGGTGTTCTAAATTTAAGGTTTTTAATTAATTAAATTTTATATTGTGTTTTTGAAATTTTGTTTATTTTTGGTTTTATAATTTTTCCTAAATTTAAAATATATTAAAATTTTATTTTTAATTAATAGTACATCCGACTTGTCGATAGATATTCCATTAAATAAAATTTCTTCAATTTCTTTTAAAGTATGAATTATTAATGTTGATGAAAATGGTTTTGGAGTATCTACTTTTTTTCAATTTTCCGAAGACTTGACAATGCGGTTGTCTTGATGACCATATATAAAATTAGATAATTTATTTTTAATTTATTTGGCAAATCGTCAAAATTCCAGCTAGTTAAAAGTAAATAAAGAAAATATTGCAAGTTAAAAATAATTTATAATTTAATATCTGTAGTGAAGAGCAAGAATGTAGTAGTACCAGTTGCAGGAGGAGATACAGATTGTGGTAGGTTGGTTGTAATGACATATTCTTGCTTGGGATTCTCCCAAGTGAGACAGTAGCCAATGTTTAAGGACTTGGATTCCCTTCATTCATTAAATTCTGCACTTCTTCTGCCTTATCCAAATATTCCTTTTACTCTACTAACTACCACTAATCTATCTTCTCAAATTAATTAATTCTTGTATTCACCCAACATCTATTTTTGCACATGAGTTAAATATTAATCAAAATTAACACTGAAATACTCACATTTCCTGCGGATTTATCTGCAGAAACATATCTGCAGGAATACCTTCGGACTTTCCTGCGGAAATAATATATAAAATAAATTTCCCTGCGAAACATCATTCCGCAGCAAATACCGCAGGTACACATGCGGATTTCGAACGTCGAATGAAACACCATTAAATCATACACAATCCGCAGGGATTTCAAGATGTTCATTTAAAACCATTATTCAATGCAAAATCCGCAGGAAATTTTCCTGTGATAAATTTTGATATATATTTATGTAATTCTTCAACTTGTATTTTTTAAAATAAAATATGTTTTTAAATAATAGTAATTTTATTTAAATTATACAAAAATTATTATTCTTTGTTTTTTCTTTTTTATTAATCATTTTGATGATGTTTCTTATTTTGTTTTAAATGTTTAATACTTAATTTTTTTATAGTTATTAATTAAAAAAAGTAAAATAAAATAAATTTAATTGACAACTACGTAAATAATAAAAAAATAAAAAAACCAACACAACAACACCACATTATTGATTTTGTTGACTAAATTTAAAGAGGAAGTAAAACCGAAAAATATAAGGGCGAAATCAATATTTTTTTATACGGTTGTTTTTGGGATTCGCTTATAGGTAATAAAATAATGATTAACCCTTTTATTTATTTATTTGATAAAAAAAATTTAATTAAACTATTCTTATTATATGTTAATAATATTTCGTCTGAAACGCAGACGAGAGGGAGAGAGAGGCTTCAAAGCTTTGATTCATTTCTTCATCTCAAAATGCAAAAAACACATAAGCTTCTTTTAGGCAAAACCCTAGCGCCGCCGCACCCTTCGCCTTATCTCTCTGTTTCCCATTCTTCTACCTTTCTATTCAACCAATGGAGTTTCTCTTTCGACGTCAACTTAAACGCCATCCATGTCTTCGCTTTTCTGGTAGATCATTTCACATTTCTCTGTTATTTCTCTCTCGTTGTTATATTTTCAATTGTTAGGGTTTTTAGTGATTTTGTTATTGTTGTAGTCAAGCTTGTGAAACTGAAGTTGAAAATGGAGTCAAGCTGTGTGGATAACGATTCTCTTGTGAAAATGGAGTCAAGCTGTGTGGATAATGATTCTCTTGTGAAAATGGAGTCACTGCGTGAATACAACAACATCGAGGTAGTAGGTTATCACATAGTTTGAGAGTTTTGTGAAAGGTAGGGTTGAGATTTCAGTGGTTTAACTTCTAAATCAAAATTGTTTAACAGGCTGGTTTACTAATCCCTTAGCTTGCTATCAAAATTCTGCAGCTGCTGTTCTTTGTAGGAAACATTATTAGAAAGTAAATCAACTGCTGGAAGAGTGTGAATGTATTTTTTGTTGCTTTAACTCATTATGGCATTTCTTTTGTATGCTCACAGTTTGAAGTGGTTCATCTTTTGAATTGTCTTAATGATTAATTTGCAGTTGCATTCGGAAGTTCATAATTGGCACTTCATTGATCTTAAAAATCGGTAAAGACCATCTATGATTTTACTTTACATGTCTGACTTGCAGCTTCGTACATTATCACGTCCTAGTGAAATTGCACATAATGACGACATATTACGAATCTTTTTGATGGCGTGAGGTTCAAACAATCAAGTTTAGCATTATTGGACTATCTTGTCTGCAGAAACTGAAGTGAGATTTTACTTTTCATTGGGTCATAATATTTTTACATTTTTGTTTGCAGTGAGATTTTACTTTGCAGTGGGATTATTCGACTATCTTGTCTGCAGTGAGATTTTACTTTTCATTGCGTCATAATATTTTTTTGGACTTCCTAAGTTTATTCAAGTAAGGAGGCTTACTCATGCATTGATAACCTGCTTCTTAATCCCTGCAGCATGCTGAAATGGCAGATGAGGGTGTTCAGCCAAAGACTCTTCAAACAATATCAATAATTTTTCAGTCACGTTTACACCCTGAAAATGAGGTCAGATTCAACAATATGAACTATGTGCTACTGTTTGCCGTTTGTAAACTGTATTATAACTTGCTGGACCTTGAAATTAGTAGATAGGAGATAGATATTGTTCAAAGCAAAAGTAATGAATCTAAATAAAGAACATGCATTGGTATGGGTTGTTGGTATAGTTAAGACATTCTGATTAGATAGTTTGCTCAGTACAGGTATTGAAGCTTTTCCTAAATTTAACTCCGTCGAGGATATGTCTAGATGAATTCATTAAAACTGCTTAGCTATGGGGTTGCTTAAGGATTATTGGATAAGTCAATACTCAATGTAGTTATGTAATAATCTAAATAATACATAACATAATTATTAAGTACTGTCTCTATTGTATTCATATACAGAGAATAATAATGGCATGGCATTCATTTTGACAAAACAATAAACCAATAAGAATAAGGATGTCATATAATATTAACGCAAAAAGACTTTTAGGAATATTTATACACTATTAAGTAACTAAATAGAATACATAGACAGCACCTAATAAAACCATGCTTGGACTATGAAATTGAACCTTGCAACGTATCTATAAAGATAAATCCTCTATGTACCTGAAAGCTTAAAATATTCAAAAGTGCGCTTTAGTGAAAACTTTTACACCGAAAGGAGATGATAAATTTAGACCAGGTCCTGTTATATAATGAAAAACTTCAAGTTATCCTACCAAAAAATATTTATAAGATGCATCATAATCTGTTATTCCAAATTGCTATTTGAGATAGACCAGTTGGTGTTTTTAATACTGAAAAGAGGTAGTTATATCTGAGGCAAACTATATTTGATTAGGCAGCGTTCTGCAATTGTCCAGAAATCGAAGGATGCAAGACATTAGGGAGAGAATGAGTAACCAATAAAGTTATTGTACTAGATTATATACATTTTGTTTGGAATTAGCTCAACCCAGGTCATAATTTGGAAATATAATAAGAAAATATTAAAGACATTTCGTTGCTGGTTTGGTTTCTGCAAGACTAAACTAACCCTTATTAAAATTAGTTTAGGTAAAATTATATCGCATTTAGCCAAAGCAGATATTTGTTGGCTTATCTTCACAAATTAAACTGGTTTCTATCTTTATGATGTACATTTTTCAAACCTTGTTACCAAGTTACCTGTTACTTCTCTTAAGAGTACCTGAGTTAATAAGCACTTTTGTCTCACACATTTGTTGCGTAAAGGATTTAAAAGTCTATTCCTTTGCATCAGCCAGTATTGAGTTCGAATTTTCTATAGATTCTGAGTTATCTCACACATTGTTCCTTTCACATGTTCGAACAGGACATCTATTGTAAAATCATTGGAGCAGCTATTTTTATTAGGTGCCTTAACAGATGAATGTCAACTCTGTGATCCAGTTGGATGGAAAATGGCTCGACTGCCCTTGGATCCTATTTATTCCAAAACTCTTATTTTAGCTAGTGAGTATAACTGCTTGGAAGAGATGTTGATAACTGTTGCAATGCTTTCTGTGGAATCAATATTTTATACTTCGCGTGACAAGTATGAAGAGGTTTGAAGAGTGAATTCTTTTTAATTCATTCCTGTCATATTCTACTTTGGTGTTATGGTGAAATGTAAATGCAAATGCAAACATGAATCAATGATTATGGACTATGCCACTTCTTTGCTATATTGACCATTTAACAAAATATTTCTAAACATATTATGGATGGTTTAAATACATGTGATGCGTAAACTATATTTCTAAGTATCTATAAGATATGCTATCGACATTTGATGCATTCTCATTTCTGAAATTCCCTTTTCAGGCAGATAAAAGGACATGCTCAACAAATGGGTTTGAAACTTGCTTCTTATGGAGATGATATGCTTCAATTTCGCAGACTGTGAAGCAGCCAGATGAAACCTACAGGTATCCAATTTTTTGTTGGATGTCGATCTCTCCCCTGAATCAGGGAAAACTAAGTTGCTTAAGGTATTTCTCATATTCTGATTTCAAAAGAAAGTATCAAATTATACTGTACTCTTTTTTTTGTTAAAATGTGTGGTTTTTTTGTTGTTATATACAACTTTTTATGAATCATTACATTAAAACTTTGCTTGCTTGTTGCAGATTAATAGCACCTCCTTTTGTGGGATTTGTAATGTTGTCAATGCCGACATTGTTCAAAAGTTGGGTCTCGGTTATGGAGAAATTAAAGTGGGATGGACTGGAGTTTCTAAACAAAATTGGCTCGCAATCTCAAGATATTGCAGAAGATATTTATATTCAATCTTTTGAAGAACGTTCTTCTGAAGAGAGGAAAACCAAAGAAGATTCTATCAAAGGAGTAGGCAGTGATGTTCAGTATTCTACTAGTGAGAAGTCTCTTAGCCCAAAAACAGATCATTTTTGGATGATAAACAAACTGAAGAAACGAGAGCACTTTTTAAAGTTGGGTGAACAAATGAAATATTAGTAGTTTGGTTGATCGAGTCATTTTTAATAATGTGATTATAAGAACTTGTTACAATATTACCTTTTATAGTAAATTGTTGTTCTATGAATTTGTCTTATTTAAGTTCAAAGTATTTTAAATTAAAATTTTATTTTTATACTATGGTTATTTTAATATATAATTTATAATATTTTAAAAAATAAAAAATTATTTAATTTAAGATAGTAATTTACTGCGGATTTACCTGTGAATTATTTCCTACAGATCATGGCCGAAAATATTAACCACAAAAATTTTAACTGGGGACTATAAACGGTAGGAAATGTGTTTTTTGCGGATTTTTGCTTAAATCCGCAGATAAATCCGTAGGAAATCCGGATATTAGTAACGTAAGTAAAAGTATTTAATATAAATATAATTAAATTCTTTTGCAAGTGATATAAAAAATTCATTTTCTACCCACTTTTATATATTAATGATATTTTGTTGGTGAATTCTAGCAAGAATGAGATCGGTAAGTTAAAGGAGAAATTAAATGAATATATTGAAATGAATTTTTTTTGATAAAGTTAAAAGGATCCTAAGAATGAATATTATTAGTGAATTATCCTTATCTATATCTAGTTATTAGAAGAAACTTGTGAAGCGATTTAGAAAATGTCAACATTCATTTAGTTAAACATACTAAACTTATGATTATGCAATATCTTCTAACACTAATATGAGACGAAGATGATGGAGAATATTTTCTATATAAGTGGAGCTATGGAGCTGGAAACATCATGTATGTTATATTTATAGAAGACCGAACTTAGCATATATGCCATTGGCATGGTAAATCAATCTATGGAAAATCTGGACCGAGGTCATTGGGAAGTTTTAAAGTGAATATTGAGGTATTTAAATAGTTCGTTGAAAAATGATTTGAGGTACACAAAGGGCGGTTCAAGATAAAGATATTTTGGATGAATATGTAGCAGTAGATTATGCTGAGAAATTGGATATTAGAGAATCCTTGTTAGGTTTTGGGTTTACATTGCTTGTCTTGAAAGATTTTTTTGGATGAATACGTAGATGTACACTATGATGAGAATGTGGATACTAGAGAATCTTTGTTAGGTTTTGGGTTTACATTTTTGTGTTGTGTGATTGATAGAAAAATTAAAAGCACTTTATTAGACTTACTTAGAGTTCAATCCACTAAGAAATCTGATGTGTGAGGACAAAGAATAACAACAACTAAAATAAATGGTGTTTTACAAAAAAAATATACTCTATGTGCAAAAAGAGATTAACTTAACTTTGCAAAATAATATAAATTAAAGATAATACACATCTAACTTGTTTATCCAATTCGATAACACGTTATATTCTAGAAATGAGAGCAACTCTCTGATTCACTATACTTCAAAAATTTATTACAAGAGATTACAAAAAAAAGTTACCCAAGCTCTCAAGAAAAACCCTATTTTCTACCAAAGTATTTCTCAATCTCTCAAACTCTCTCTATATATGAATCACACATATCCAAAAAATTTAAAAGTGTTTCCCAATACCCACATCTCCAAGGATTTTCAAAATTTCAAACATACTCTTAGAAAGTTACCATTGCCTCTCTAAGATAACCATTAGGATTCTCAAACCTTTATTTATGTTTTCAAATTTAAACTTCTAAACGTTGTGATATCAAACATTCAAGAGAAACATATTTATAATTGTTAAAATCCAACATATCTATAAAAAAAGCCCAAAATATAACCCATTAACTAACGAATTCATAAACTAAATCAACATAAGTCAATACACGCAAAGCGAGAAAACTGGACCCAAGCTCTAATAAACTGAACCATCTGTCGAACCCAGGCTCACTGTCACACCACATTCATCCTCACTTTTACTTAGCTTCACCTCCATCCTTAATCTGCATTGCCCATCCATCTCTAGAGCTAGCCCCACATCACGTAGCTCTGGAGCTAGCCTCACACCACGCCCTCTCCACAGAGCATCGCTCTGCTTTATGTCATTTTCGTCGGCTTCCAGGTTGATTTATGGTTTTTGAAATATTAAAATATATTCCGTTTCTATTCATCACTTATGATTTTAAGACATACCTCAACAATTTCCACCTTGACTTGAAGTTATGGTGATTTCAATTTAACCATCAACCACCTTACTACTCTATACCATATTGAATCATTATTCAACAACATTGATCAAGTTCAAGCCACATTTGAACATTGATCTTTCCACTTTAATCCATTTGCATCTAAGCATCCTCTCATGCTTTAGTAGTTTACCAAGCTCACAGGTATGGTTATTCAACCATCTTTCACTCCAAATTCCTTCATCAAGGTCAGTGTTTATGAGTTTTGTAACATTTAGCCACATTCAAAGCATAACACCGAAGGCTTGAATAATTGTCCCTTTTAGATGGTAAAATATCACTCTTAGCCTTATCACGAGTCACATGAAGAATAAAGGTCTTTGTAATTGTTTCTTCACTACTACTAGTATCCATAGTAGGAACCTCTATATAAAACTGGATATTATCTGTCATAGTTTCTGATAGCTTCATCCCTAAGTCTTTATCTTTCTTCCTGTGATAGAACTCACCACAATTAATACATCTGTGATTGATGAACTTCGATCCTCCAGGTTCCACTCCCAACTTCTCATAACCATTCATACCTTTTGGATAGCTATTAAAGACATAATTCACAACTTTACCATCTAGCTGGATTGGCTTGATTTGATCAATAAGCAAAGTTTAGTCGAGCTTCAAAATAGAGTATGTTATAGTCTTCCTACTCTAAACCTCTAAAAGTATTTAGAAGTTTATTCCTATAAATAAACACTTGTCAACTAGGTAAGCTACTTTGTCACAATCCTTACCCTAGAAATTCAATGAAAACTCGACAACCATATGCATTTTTATCCTTTGTCTTTTCCATGATTAATTAAAGTGCTCCAAAATAACCTCCTGACATATACTATGCCTTGATCTTAAATCAAATAGCTTTTTCTTGTTATGAAAATCTTCACTAGCTGATGATGAATGAACAACAACATTGAAACTTTCTAAAGTGCATAAACTACACATATTAGACCCTTTAACTATGATCACTTCATAATGAAAACACTATTTGTTCAACTCTAGTACAATATCATAAATAATCAAACATGCTTATGGATAACAAATTTTGTCTGAACTCTAGAACATGCATCAAGTTGTAATGAAAAAACTTGAAATTATCAAACACTTTAAGTATGATTATACCAATACCAGGAACCTTACAAGCCTTATAGTCACCAAGGAGAACAACTCCACTTCGATCCAACTTCAAAGTCTCAAAATATTCTTTTCTTGGACACATGTGATAAGAGTAGCCCAATGTTGGGTGAGAATATGTAGTAGAGAAGCGATTTATAGGGGGGTGAACAAACCCTTATTAAAAATCATTGATTTTCCAAAAATAGAATATTAGAGGATTTTCAAAATATGAAGAAGTTTTAAAGCGAAAATAGAGATCTTATGCTTTGTATTGGAAGTCAACCACATTTACAAATACATAATTCACAAATCACACAGATTGTTCAAAGACAATGATTAATTGAGTAATTGTAGATTACATGAGATAGTGTCATGTGCAATGATTCAATTAACATAGGATTATAACGTCATTAGTTTTCCAAAATTTAATCAACATTAAAGCCCAATTATGTACC